CAGCAGGAGGGGAGAAGAGCGCCCCTATCAGCTTTCGTTCAGAGCACTCCCCAGGAAGGTGAGAGATTTGAATCCCATCAGGAGAGAATTGAACCAGGTCTCCCACTTCCTAACCAAATGCTCTGGTGACCTAGAAATGATCTAAAAGTGAGACGCTTTACACCATTTCCTCCTCAGGCTGTGTGTTAAAGAAAGCAGAGGCTCAGCCCTGTCAAATTAAGGTCCTTGTGGGTGCACAGAGAGGCAGGATTTCAGGGAAACAATAAGGTCAAAAACTGAAGCACCATTGGCATTTGCGTTCCTCCAGGGCTAGATAGCAGCTAATCAGGAGCTTTCAGGATTACAGCTTTGGACATGCATCTTTAAAAGGGGACATGGGTAAAAGTCAGGCACCTATGTCCGTTATTGTCCCTACTGTACCTAGTCCATGTTTTAGTTATTTTTAATTTGTAAATTGAGGACAGTAGCACAGCCCTTCTTCATGGCGGATTCTCTGCAGAAATACCTTTAAAGACCTGAGAGGTGCTTGGGTGATGGAGCAGCAGATAAGCATCTAGCTAGATTTTTGTGTCTGTCCTGTAAGGTGGTGAGAGGCTCGTACAAATGTGCAAACTAGCTAAAGAGGAAACGGAAAGTACTTCTGAAAGAAAGAGAGTTCCTTTTAATTTTTCTCTCATTTTTTAACAGTAACCTGAAGTCCCACTTGTTGAAGCAACTGAGAAAGTATTTTCTGTCCAAAGACCATTTTTAAATTGACAACCTCCCTTGAAAATCCTACTTGTCCCAAGTTTAGTAAGACATTTTTTGGAACTGTCCGTTTTGTGTTCTGGCAGTAAATTAGAAAGGTGCTGCTTTACATTCACTACAGAACCCAGAGGCATAAGTGGGCAGTTTTTGTGCCCTGAGAAGCAATGGTGCTCAGGGCAGCACCTGCTGGCATTGACAGTGGCCAGGCCAACAGTGCAGCAGCTGTATTTTTGCTCCCTCTCCCTAACCTCCCCTCCCCCACCACCAAGTCAGCCCCCCAGGGCTGGTGCTCTGGTTGCCCCACCTTACACTACTGGCAGAACCAGCTGCCCATCAGTGGTGTTTGATATCTGTTAAAGTGGATTCAAACTATTTAATAAATCATATTGTTTCATGAAGGACAATAAGAAGTCCTTCCTTAGGTATGTAGGGAGCAGAAGGAAAAACAAATGGAAGTGTGGGGCCATTGCTTAACAACTCAGGAAAGCTGGTAACTGATGCCCAGGAGAAAACCAAACTCCTGAATTCCCACTTTGCTTCAGTTTTTCACCGGACCAAGGGGAAAAATATGTGAGATAAGGCTCACATGGGCATGGTGGGAATGATAGCCTTCCCACTATTGATGCTGAGCTGATGCATAACCAACTAGAAAAGCTAGACATTTATAAGTCAGCAAGACCAAATGAACTTCACCCAAGAGTGCTGAAGGAGCTGGCTGAGGTCATTGCAGGACCCCTGGCAAATCTTTTCCAAAAATTGTGGTGCTCAGGGCAGATCCCTGAGGATTGGAAGAGGGCCAACATTGTGCCCATCTTCAGGAAGGGGAAGAGGGAGGACCCGGGCAACTATAGGCCAATCAGTCTAACTTCTATCCCAGGGAAAATCCTAGAAAAACTCATCAAGGAGTCTATGTGTGACTCATTCATAGAGGGTAGGATTCTGAACAACAGCCAGCATAGCTTCATCATGGGTAGGTCTTGTCTTACCAATCTCATCTCCTTCTATGACCAGGTCTCTCACCACCTGGACAAGGGAGAGGAGGTTGACATTTATATACCTAGACTTCCAAAAGGCTTTTGATCTAGTATCCCACGATATCCTTGTGGGAAAACTGAAAGATTGTGGGCTCAGCTGCTCAACGGTTCAGTGGGTGGGAAACAGGCTACAGTGTAAGACCCAGAGAGTTCTCATTAATGGATCTGTGTCATCCTGGCATGAAGTGGCCAGTGGTGTCCCTCAGGGGTCCCTGCTTGGATCAGTGCTTTTCAACATCTTTATCAATGATTTGGATGGGGGAGGGAAAAGTTCGCTGGCCAAGTTTGTGGACAACACCAAGTTATGGGGCAGTGTAGTCATGTCAGAAGATAGGTTGCAGATACAGGTGAACCTGGACAGGCTAGAGATTTGGGCAGACCAGAACCAGATGAAGTTCAATACTTCCAAGTGTAAGATGCTCCATCTGGAGGCAAACGACTCTCAACATACATACAGGCTCGGAGGTGACAGCCTGACCTGCACCATGGCTGAAAGGGACCTAGGGGTAATGATTAATCATTGCATGAATATGAGCCGTCAGTGCGAGGTAGTGATCAGCAGGGTAAATAGCATGCATCAACTGATGCATCTTGTATAAAACTAAGGAAGTGATACTCCCGCTGCACTCAGCACTGGAAACCACAGTTGGAGTACTGCATCCAGTTCTGAGTGCCGCATTTCAGTAAGGACATGGAAAAACTTGAGAGGGTCCAGAAAAGAGCCACCTGTATGATCAGGGACTTGCACAGCAAGCCATACGAGGGAAGGTTGAGGGACCTGGGCCTCTTTAGCCTAAAGAAGAGAAGATTGAAAAGGGACTTGATAGCAGCTTACTGCTATATCAGGGGAGTGCGTCAGGAGCTCGGTGAACAACTGTTCACTAGGGCACCTCCGGGGAAGACCAGGATCAATGGATACAAACTCCTGGAAGGCTGCTTCAGGTTTAATACCAGGAAAAAACTCCTTTACAGTCAGGGTGTCCAAACTGTGGAATAAACTCCCTCCAGAGGTGGTGCAGTCACCTACCCTGGAGGTTTTCAAGAGGAGACTGGACAGTCACCTTGCTGGGGTCACCTGACCCCAGTTGTCTTCCTGCCTAGAGTGGAGGGACTAGACCCGATGATCTGCAAGGTCCCTCCCAGCCACTAACAATCTATGAATCTATGAACATAAACTGTCAGTGCAGTGCTGTAGCCAGGAGGGCAAACAGTAGTCTGGCATGCATCAACCAATGTGTTTCATGTAAAACCAAGGAATTGATTCTTCCACTGTACTCAGAACTAGTGAGACTGCTGCTGGAGTACTCCATCCAGTTCTGGGTGCCGCACTTCAACAAGGATATGGGAAAACTTGAGAGGGTCCAAAGAGCCACCTGTATGATCAGAGACTTGCAAGGCAGACTATACGAGGAGAGTCTGAGGGACTTGGGCCTCTTCAGCTTAAAGAAGAGAAAGCTGAGAGGGGACTTGGTAGTAGCTTACTGCTACGTCAGGAGAATACATCAAGAGCTCAGTGAACAACTGTTCACCAGGGCACGCATGGGGAAGATCAGGAGTAATGGATACAAACTTCTGGAAGGCTGCTTCAGGATCAATTCTAGGAAATACTCCTTCACAGGGTGTCTAGATTGTGGAACAAACTCCTTCTGGAGGTGGTGCAATCACCTACCCTGGAAATCTTCAAGAGGAGACTGGACGGTCACTTTGCTGGGGTCACCACACCCCTAGTTGTCTTCCCTGCCTAGTGCAGGGGGGCCAGACCCGATGATCTTTCGAGGTCCCTTTCAGCCCCTTACAATCTATGAATCTATGCTGTGATCTTATCAGATTTCAAGCTAAATAGGGATAGACCTGGTTAGTCCATTAGGTCTAGACCTCCTTGGGAAACCTCCAAGGAACCTGATGTTAATACTTCAGTCAGAAGCATGTGAGTCTATATGGAACCAGGTCCCCAGGACAGTAATAGAAGAGGTAACATTTGCAGATGAGAAGCTGAAAAGAGCTCCTGATTATCTGCTTAGGCATCTTTTGTTTGTGAGGGATCAAGTTTTTCAAAAGAGACTAGTAGCATTAACAGTATTATGAATATACTATCTTTAAATCCTCGGTAGTTTCAGTGGGGAGGAGATAGAATGTTGAATAAAATGAGGAAAAAACCAGGAAATGCAGCAGAGCTATGGTAGATCTTTCAAATAATTCCATCTCTGTGTGCTTAGGCCTCTGTACCACAATTTTTCAGTTAAATGCTAAAGCTAAAATGGGATTTCTTAACCGGCCTCATTCTATAAGTATATAGAATATATACTTATATTACAGTATACACTTTACAGTATATACAGCTTTCATGCTGGGCTCCTTTTGCAGAGCTCATTGAGAATTAAATGCCAAGCCAAGTTTGAACTACATCACTCTGGTGCGCTTCCCTTCCCCTCTTCCTCCTGTGTTGGGGTTTGTTAATATTTTTCTGATCACAACACATAAATTAGAGTCATGTCCCTTATGCAAGCAGAATTAGCTCTACTAAACCCTTTTGCCAAATTTCTTATCTGAGCTCAACCACGAATGATAAAGCTCAGCAAACAAGAAAACGTCATGAGAAATGAAACTACAAATACCTGGGAAGAAGGGTCAGGGTTAGAATGCAAGGTAGAAATTGATATAAGCCCTAAACAATGCTCTTTGCTGCAGTTTGCTTCTCTTCACGTTGGGAGCATTGCCAGCTCCCCAAGGTGGTTGTATCAATCTGTATATTTCACAATCTGTGTTTTTTTCTTTCCTGGAATGCAGTTGATTTGCCATTCCCAAAGAACTCCAGCAGCCCTCTCCTTAAAACTGGCTCCAATGCCATTGCCCTGTATGTTGGGAACAGCAGCAGCTTTGCACTGGGGCAAGCAGTGTCTACAAGCAATCTACTGGATGCACTGGTATACACAAACAATGAGAGGGTGGACCCTGAGCTTCTGGAGATCCTGACCCCAGGGAAATTCGCCTATGAGAATAAATGGTGAGAAGGCCGCCCTACAGGAAGGCGGGAAGGGGTTAAGTTTTACCTGATGGACTCTTTGTTGCTCTGTTTCTTTTCTTTTCTGAACCAGGAGATCTGACACTTGACCTTGAAAAGGTCTTGGTTGCTTTTGAGAAGTACATAAACAAGTCCCTGGCAACCATGGGGGTTTCCTGTATGACCTCTCTTCCTCTGGTCATGGCCATCATCCATAGGTGACACGGTGGAAACCCTTTACTTTTTGTATCCTTTTTAAGTTTAGTGAAGCCTGACAGTGGCATTACCCCACCCACCAGCTAAGTGTTTGATTTAAATTCTGGATTGGAACACCTTGGCCCATTTAAACCTTCCATTGCCCTGCCAAAAAAATTATTGCTCCCTTGGGCTAATCCTGTCACTAGCAAAATAAGATCCATACCATTTTCCACAGTCCACTGTTGTCATTCCAAACAAGACCAACTGGTTCTCCTCCCCTCAGCAGTCCCAAATAGATCCAGGGGCAAGTCAGTCATGCAGTATAACCTTGGGTAAAGAGGAGCCAATGGGCAGAGCTGATGGAAAGTCTTCTGGCAAAAGTTTCAAGTCCTTTGACTGATTCAGACCGAGGACTTAAATCTCTGCCTCCCCTACCTGAGGTAATTGTCCTGGCCACTTGTTCTGGGATAGCTTGCTTTCTCTCTAGCTTTTGAAAAGGTCTTGGATTGTTTTGAATGTGGAGTGGGAGGACTTTTGAAATCTCACTGTCCCAGGGCATGCCTGACCTCAGTGCAGGCTGTAACCAGAGTCCTTGGGCTCCACAGGGATCCAGAGCCTCTTTCCCCCTGCCAGTGAATTCCAGGGTGGGGAGCAGAGAGGAGGAGGCAGGAGAGAGATGAAGAATATCCAATGGGCTCTGAAGCTCTGTAAGAGCAGGGGCTCTGGCCATAGCCTGCACTGTTCAGCTCATGAGCTCAAAGCATAGGGCACATACCATACAGAGTTCCCAGCAGAAGCTGTGCTGAGATGCTGATGAGATCGGGGAGCTCATTGTCCATGTGGTGCACAGTCAGAAGCGAGGTGTTCCTGTGCTGCTATGCCCCCCTGGATCTGCCACTGGGGATTTATTTGAATGCAATTTCCTCCACAGTTCCACTGACAAATATATTCAGCCCTCTGGCAAAGCAAGTGTAGCCAGCAGGGGTAAGGAAAGGCTGGGGTTAGAGTGGTCAGTAGAATGAGGAAATGAATGGGTGAAATTAGGTGGACAGATAGATGAGGTGGGGGAAACCCCTTCTCTGAGGTACTGATAGAAAAGAACCAAAGGTCAGTGTCCCAGTGCTCCAGCTCCAAAGGTTGGGAAGAGCTCGTTGTTTATGGATGAGGAGGAAGCCTTGTTGGGACTTGTTGAGTCAACTGCATCAGACCCAGTTATAGTTTAACCTCCTTATCGGGTAATTGATCACTCTTGACACTTCTGCTATCTTCTTCATTCCTCTCCTCCCCACCTTGGAACAGAATCTACCTCTGGTATTTGCTTCCTCCAAGAGCAAAACAGCTGTACTTTGTGCACCTGTCCATGCTATGGGCTGTATCCCTGTTCCCAGGATTTTGCCTGCATCTTAAATATGAGTTGTTTTGCTCTACTGTTTCTCACCACACATGGCTCCTGCATCCCACTGAGAGAGTGAGAGACCAGACACAAGCATCTCCCCTAGACCAGCTCATGCTGACTTACCCAGCCATTAGTCAGAAGCCTCCAATGGTGCATGTTCTGTGGAGTTACAACAGCTTGAGTAATAAATAGTGAATAAAACAGGGAGTGAGGAAATGAGAGAGTGGCCCGCTGGAAGAGGAAGGGCATGCTTTTCTTGTGAGAACTGCTATTTACTATGACATACCACAGGGCCATCTTGTACAGTATACTGTGTCCCAGTGGGAGAGATAAGAAGCTGAAACGGAGAGTGAACTGTGTCTGACCAGGGTTTTTGCCACTTTTCCTCTCTCACTTGCAGCCTCCAGCATTTAAGGTCTAGGACAGGGGCAGGTAAAAGGCAGCCCTTGGGCTGGATGCGGGCCACTGGGCCATTCTATCCAGCCCGCAGGGCCCCTAAAAAATTTAGAAAATTAATATTTATCTGCCCCTGGCTGCCTGTCATGCAGCCCTCGATGGCTTGCCAAACTTCAGTAAGCGGCCCTCTGCCTGAAATAATTGCCCGCCCCTGGTCTAGGAAGTTCTGATTCTGAGACTGTAGCCCTAACTCCTGTGCTCAATAGCTATTGATGCCCCTTTCCTTCAAGAACTTGTCCAGTCCTTTTTTGAATCTGGCTAAATTGTCAGCTTCCACAACAGCTGGTGGCAGTGAGCTTCACACTTTAATTACACGCTGTGTGAAAAAAACCTTCCTTTTGTTAAACTGACTACCTAGTAGTTTTATTTTGTAACCCTTAGTTCTTACATTGTGATAGTAAATAATAAATCCCTATTTACTTTCTCATCACCATTCAGTATTTTGCAAACCCTTATCATATGTCCACTTAAGTGTCTCTTTTCTAAACTGAATAGACCTAGCCTTTTCAGTCTCTCTTCATTTGGAAGCCCCTATATACTACTAATTATCCTTTTTGCCTTTCTCTGTACCTTCTCTAGTTCTTCTATATCCTTTTTGAGGTGTGGGGACCAGAGCACTTTCAGGAGGTCTGACATACTCTTAGGTTTCCTGTTTCAGGAAGGCAAGTGATCATGGAGGAAAGGGTATTGTTCTCCCAGACCCTTTACTTCAGATAGAGAAGGCAAAAATGTATGGCTTCAGTTCATGGTGTCTGCACATTGGGGTCACCCTGCCACTAGGTCACAAGTATGCAATTCTCTGGGCTACAGGTTGCATTATCTTTCTTATGTGTGTATGTCTGCCTCTTTCAGGTATCAGCTGGGTGATGTGTCCATGAGCCGGTGCAGCTGCTGCTCTGTGACCCAGGATCCCTCTGTCTATGTCCTCAGCAGCCCTACACCCAGTGAGTTCAATGACTGCCCCAGCACACGCTACAGCCAGTCCATTTCTCTATGCCTCCATACAGCAGGTGGGTAAGAGGTGCTGTCTCTGGATTGGTTGGTCTGTTCTGTAAGCAAATGGACAGATGTTCTCCCTTTGCAAGCTCTTAAGAGTCCGTGCAGAACTTCAGTTCTTTATTGTGGATGTCAGGAGTAAGGGGAGCTTGGCTGGTACTGAAACTTTGTGTTAAATGTCTGAAACTTTGTGTGAAATTTGTGTGAAAACACCTGTTGAAGAAAAGGGTTGGTTTCAGCAACAGGCATCTGTCCTAAAAGAAAAAATGACTTCAGTCTCTGCTGTAATTGCTTTGCTTGAGCTGTTCTTCCCTGTTGTTTCAGCATAGGATACAGACAGGGCTGTGGTCAGTGAATGAGGAAATAGGGTGCTGTGGAACATGTGAATGTGTTGAATCCACATGTGTGAATCTAAAATTACTTTCTGTTGAATCTGCTAATGGCAATGAATGTATACTTTTACTTTATGTTTATAATATATTCTTTGCTTGCCAGTCTGACTGCCCTCTTTCCCATACTTGTGGCTAAAGTTGGCATTTATAAATGCCCTGGGACAAACATAACATATGCTTTCCTAAGAAAATGGATTTGAGTTAAAAAATGGATTTGAGAAAAGATATGATGATATTAATTCTCACCAACAGAAATGCATCCTCATGTAGAAAGCTGAAGTTAACATTACGTGCTATGCAAATCTTATTGAAACAGGCTGATAGGGTGCATAGATTCATAGATGCGAGGGTCAGAAGGGACCTCAACAGATCATCAAGTCCAAACACCTGCCTGGGCAGGAAAGAGTGGTCAGAAGACCCCAGCCAGATGCCTATCCAGCTTTCTCTTAAAGACCCCCAAGGTACGGGAGAGCATCACCTCCCTTGGAAGCCCATTCCAAATTTTGGCCACCCTTACCATGAAGAAGTTTTTCCTGATGTCTAGCCTAAATCTCCTCTCTGTCAGTTTGTGACCATTATTCCTTGTTACCCCAAGAGGCGCCCTGGTGAACAGAGCATTTCTGATTCCTTGCTGTGCCCCCACTAATGAATTTGTAGGCGGCCACAAGATCACTTCTCAGCCTTTGCTTGCAGAGGCTGAAGAGGTCCAGGTCCCTTAGTCTCCCCTTATAGGGCTTGGCCCATAAACCCTTAACCATACGAGTGCCCTCCTCTGGACCCTCTTGAAGTTATCCACATCCTTCTTAAAGTACAGCACCCAAAACTGGACTCAGTGCTCCAACTGCGGTCTAACCAATGCCGCACAGAGGGAAAGTATCGCCTCCTTGGTTCTATTTATCATTCATCTGCTGATACATGATAAAGTGCAGTTAGCTTTGCTGATGATTTCGTCACACTGATGACTCATGTTCATCTTGGAGTCCACAATGACTCTGAGATCCCTTTCCGCTTCTGTGTTGCTGAGAGGGTCATTTCCCAGCCAGTAGGTGTGCTGGATATTTTTACGCTCAAGGTGCACCAGTATGCACTTGTCCTTGTTGTACTGCATCTTATTGTGTTCTGCCCACTTTTCCAACCTGTCCAGGTCTGCCTGCAATCGTTCACTACCCTCCATAGTGTGCACTTCACCCCACAATTTAGTATCATCCACAAACTTGGACAGAGTACACTTCACACCCACATCCAAGTCACTGATGAAGGCACTGAAGAGTGCAGGTCCAAGGACCAAACCCTGCAGGGCCCCACTGCCCACATCCTTTCAGGTCAATACCGACCCGTCAACTACCACTCTCTGGGTGCGACCACTAAGCCAATTTGCCACCCACCGGACTGTGTAATCATCTAAGTCACAGCCTCTTAATTTATTTATGAGAATGGGATGAGATACCGTATCGAAGGCCTTGCTAAAATCCAGGAAAACGATATCCACCTCTACTCCTGCATCAATAACCTGGTCATTGTCGTGGAAAAAACAGGCTGTAGAATTTGGAATCGGGTCAGGTAGAAACTTTATTTCGATAGCTATCGGAGAGAGACTGTTAAAGGAAAGATTTCCTCTGGCTCTCTGCTTACAGCAAGGGCAATTAACCTTTTTATAGATTCAAGACAAAGGGTTGCCTAAACTAGCTTTTCCCACCTTGGGGCTATCTGTCTTGTGTCTTCCAAGACAGCTTTAATGGTCATCTTCCTCTTGTCTAAGGAATTTCTCTCTTCCCCCCTGAGGCCTCAGCCATTCTTTGCTTCCACATCATAAAAAGAAACCAGATTGGTCAGGCATGATCTTCCTGCTACGAATCCATGCTGGTTGCCCTGCTGCATTATTGAATAGATTTCATAGACATTAGGGCTGAAAGGGACCTCAGAAGATCATCAAGTCCAACCCCCTGCCCCAGGGGCAGGAAGTTAGCTAGAGTCAAATGGTCCCAGCAAGATAAACGTCCAAATGCTTCTTAAAAGTGTCCAGAGTAGGTGCTTGCACCACCTCTGGGCGGAGTCTATTCCAGGCCTTGGGGGTTCAGACAGTAAAGAAATTTTTCCTTATGTCCAGCCTAAAATGGTCTTGGAGGATTTTGTGACTGTTTGGCCTTGTCATCCCTTGGGGCGCTCTGGTGAACAGGCATTCCCCCAGATCTTGATGTACACCCCTTATATACTTATAGGCAGCCCCTAAGTCACCCCTGAGCCTGCGCTTTTTCCCACTGGACTCACACAAATAGATTAATAGATTCACAGAAGTAGAGTCGGAAGGGACCTTGTAGATCATCGAGTCCAACCCCCTGCCCTGGGCAGGAGAGAAAACCGGGCTCAAATGACCCCAGCCAGGTAGACGTCAAGCCTCCTCTTAAAGACCCCCAGGCTAGGAGCCAGCACCACTTCCCTTGGAAGCTGGTTCCAGATCCTAGCCGCCCTGACTGTGAAGTAGTGCCTTCGGATGTCTAGTCTAAACCTACTCTCTAACAATTTGTGGCCATTATTCCTTGTTACCCTGGGGGGCGCTAGGGGGAACAGGGTCTCTCCCAAACCCTGCTGGTCTCCCCTGGTGAGTCTATAGATGGCCACCAGGTCCCCCCTCAGCCTTCTCTTGTGAAGGCTGAACAGGTTAAGGTCCCGTAGCCTCTCTTTGTAGGGTCGGCCCTGCTGTTCCTGGATCATGCGGGTGGCCCTCCTCTGGACCCTCTCAATGCTGTCCACATCCCTCCTGAAGTGCAGCGCCCAGAACTGAACACAGTACTCCAGCTGCGGCCTGACCAGTGTTGCATAGAGGGGGAGGATCACCTCCTTGGCCCTACTTGAAATGCACCTGTGGATGCACGACAAGGTACGGTTAGCCCTACTGATCGTGACCTCACATTGTCGGCCCATGTTCATCTTGGAGTCAATACTGACTCCAAGGTCTCTTTCTGCCACCATGCTCTCAAGAAGGGAGTTTCCCAGCTTATAAGTGTGCTGCTGGTTCCTACTGCCCAAATACAGCACCCTGCACTTGCCAGTATTGAAACCCATCCTATTTTCGTTAGTCCACCCCTGTAACCTGTCCAGGTCCTGCTGTAATCTGTCCTTCCCTTCTAGTGTGCCCACCTCACCCCAAATCTTGGTATCATCAGCAAATTTAAACAGGCTGCTTTTTACCC